AACAGAATTATTGGCTTCCCATAAAAGGCAGCTGAGGGGTGAATAATTACCAGGGTTGTAATAATTTCGTTAAAACCTAGCAGAACACTGTGGTATTTCAAAAATATATGTTTTTTTTAAATTTTGCTGGCTTAATTAAGCTGGCAGAAACGTTTCCAAATAAGACTGATTTATGGGGGCAAGGTTATTAGGGTGAATAAAGTTTAGTATATATATATATATATATATATATATTATATATATATATATATATATAGGGGAAGGGCGGACAAGATGGCATACTTAGTGTTTATATTCCAAATATTTGAGACATAAATAGAGATAAATCATTTCTTTTGATGTATAATGATAGACAGGTCATTTTTCTACTATTCTAAATAACAAAAAATCATTCATACAAAGAGATTTATTTAAAAAAAAATCAAAATCAAAATGTAACAAAAAACCATTTTGCCCGCCCAGTGCGGGCAAAATGGCATACACATAAACAATAGTGTTAAATACAAAAATAATTATAAATTTTTATTTTTACGAAGAAAAAAAATTGAAATTAAACATTTTAGTTCATACAAAGTTCGCAAATAAATTGTTTTGCTTTTTTTGTGAAGTCCAGCACATTCTGAATGTGACCAGTTTTGGCAAATTTGGCATCTTAACCATCCTTCATTAGATTTGGACCTACTAAACATATCATTGCAGTAAATGCAAGCGCAGTCGTCTTGTTTATCATCATTAATATTAAAGGGTTCTTCTTTATCACTTGATATATTGCTCAGTATTGGTCTCGTCACAATAGTTCTCTTGCCTTTGTTCTCCGACTGATGTCTATCTTTGTTCACAATGCGTCTTCCATCACTTAAATCATTCAATTTTGATGGTATATAAGGCAAATATCGAACACAGTAATTAATTAAATCTTGCCTAAGTACTTTCGATCAATAGATCATCCTCAGGGGCATTTCGTCAGTTGTGGCCTATCCGACATGATCAGAATGTCATACATGTAAATTTGGACATAACAATACAATACACAAAGACAAACAAACACTTGTTGTTTGGATTTTTAAAAACAAAATTTTTAAAAATGGAGAAGCTACATGTTATATAGAAGCCGGAGACAGAATAACTTCTGTCATTCTCATGTCATGAATTCTGTCGGTATTTTGAATTTTTTGTTCTTCAACAACTTCTTCTAACTTATTAAAAAATTTATTTACCTGAGGCTTATTGAATGCCTCGGCCCGTGCAAGAGACGTATCTTCTGGAAGGCGTAATGATAATTGCGGATTTCGTTGGCGAAAACCATGCAACCATCCTTTGCCCGCCATGTTGGTCACTTTATTGAACGGATGATTAATTTTCATTTTCTCTACAATGCTATAGGCTAGCTTGCATAAGTCTGCTCTTGTCACGCCAAAAAACCGGGATTCAAGATACAGAATGTGGGCAACTATTGCAGTCTCCATATCTTCGTTTAAAACTGTTGCCAGGGAGCCCAAATGTTTTTTGGCAATGGCTTCAATGGCAATTTTATTTTTATTACCTGCTTAACGTCGTAGTGTTGAGAACGGTACATGAAATGTATTGCTTGCTTTAAGCCAACCCATTTCGGAATTTCGGACTGCCTTCAAAGCTCTTTGCATGTCTTCCTCACTCCAACTATTTCTGTTAGACTTCGTTTTATATGAATAAACCATCTGCAAAAAAAAAACTGAATATGTACCTTATCCTGAAAAACAGACGGGCAAAATGGCATAGTATGTTATTTTGCCCGCCATAATGCTATGCCATTTTGCCCGTTTTGTATTTGCCGACTACTGATAGTTGAAAAAAATTAATAATGGAACTAAACACAATTTTTATTTGAGGTTACATGCAGCGTATAAAACATAATTACCAAAAAGTGAATTCAAAAAGCTCTATAACCTTAATTTAATAAATTATTGAATAAAACTTACATTGACGCATCGAACTCGACCAGCACTTATTCTCAAATATACCAATCTCGTGACCGGCCGTTAAATTAGGTTCACGAGACTTAATGTGGACAGTGTTGCCACTGTTTATAATAAGTATCCAGAATTGCGGTGACGTAGAACCGTTACCTTGACTACGAAAACAAAAAACCATTTTGCCCGCCTATGTTATTTTACCCGCCCTTCCCCTATATATATATATATATATATATATATATATATATATATATATATATATATATATATAATATATATATATATATATATATATATATATATATATATATTGGATTTGAAACTTCCGCGGGAGCTATAAGTGATTTCAGTTGTTTTCCGGGTTTGACTCCGCGTTAAGTAATTTTGGTTTTTAGAAAAACCATTGTTTTGACGACGTTTCGGCAAGGTCACACTTGCCATTGTCAAGTCAGATTAGTTCTGCTTCGTCTTGATGTTTCAGGAGAACTGATTTCTCGGTCGCTGCTCGCTAAGTTTAAATACCTTGAAGCGCTTCTTGTTATTGGTCCTGTGCGCAGAGTGGGCGGGGTCTTCTTCGCTATTTTAATTTCTACGTTTTTCTGTAGAATTGATTTCCACGTATTTGGGAGTCTTTGGGCATCGTCTCTGGTATTTAAATTTTTTGGATGTTTTTCGATCTCTATGGCTTCCCTGATTACACGTTTGGCCTTATTTTCGATATTGGCTAGCATTGTTGTTCCATTTAAGTCGATTTTGTGTCCTGTGTTGATGGCATGTTGTGCTAGAGATGAAGTTTTCTGTTTTCTTTCGATGGCGTTTCGATGTTCTTCGCGTCTAACTTGTATCCTTCGATTTGTCTGTCCGATGTACGATTTATCCCGTGTGAGGACTGCGATAAATCGTACATCGGACAGACAAATCGAAGGATACAAGTTAGACGCGAAGAACATCGAAACGCCATCGAAAGAAAACAGAAAACTTCATCTCTAGCACAACATGCCATCAACACAGGACACAAAATCGACTTAAATGGAACAACAATGCTAGCCAATATCGAAAATAAGGCCAAACGTGTAATCAGGGAAGCCATAGAGATCGAAAAACATCCAAAAAATTTAAATACCAGAGACGATGCCCAAAGACTCCCAAATACGTGGAAATCAATTCTACAGAAAAACGTAGAAATTAAAATAGCGAAGAAGACCCCGCCCACTCTGCGCACAGGACCAATAACAAGAAGCGCTTCAAGGTATTTAAACTTAGCGAGCAGCGACCGAGAAATCAGTTCTCCTGAAACATCAAGACGAAGCAGAACTAATCTGACTTGACAATGGCAAGTGTGACCTTGCCGAAACGTCGTCAAAACAATGGTTTTTCTAAAAACCAAAATTACTTAACGCGGAGTCAAACCCGGAAAACAACTGAAATCATATATATATATATATATATATATATATATATATATATATATATATATATATATATATATATATATATATATATATATATATATATAATCAATAACCCTTCTACCCTAAGGTGTTGGGTGTAAAGTCTCTTTTCAGGTTTTATATACAAACTTCCTCCAACTCTTCTTGTTGCTTGCCAATTTCTTCGCTTGCTTCTTGGTGACTCCTCTCCTGTCTAGGATGGCGGCAATTTCATCGTCCCAGGTCTTCATGGGTCTGCCTCTCGGTCTTTTCAAAGTTCTTCTCGCTTCCCACACTTGTTTCACTTGGCTTGTTTTATCCATCGTTACCATGTGGATGTACCATCTCAGTTGGGCTTCTTCGATTTTCTTCTTTATTGATTGGACTTTAAGGCGTTCTCTTATTTTATCGTTCCGTATCTTGTCCATTCTGGTCACCCCTAGTACTCTTCTTAGATACTTCATTGAAATACTTTGCATTTATTTTTTAGTCTGGTGGTGAGCGTCCAGCTGTCACATCCAAATGTTAAGATAGGTACAAAAACTGTATTGCACTCCCAGGTATTTGAAGGTTTCGACTTGTTCTAAAGTATAGTTATTGATTTTTATGTTTGTATGTTGATCTGTTTTCCCACATATCATGACCTTGGTTTTACTTTCATTAATTCTCAGATTACGTTTTTCAAGTTTATCTCTCCACATTTGGAGGTTTCCCTTAAGTGCGTCCTCGTTTCTTCCAAATACAACAAGGTCATCTTCAAATGCGCACTCCACTATCTGTATCATTTCCAGGTTTCTATGTCCAACAAATATTCTCGATGTTTCTTCTCTAGTGAGTGCAAGGTTATCAGGGTGAATAAAGTTTAGTTCATATTCAAAAAATACTTTTTTTTCAAATTTTAAAAATACTTTTAAGTAGAGAATTTTAATTTAACCGAATTATTGACATTAGGGTGGTTTGGTGGTTAAAATTTATTAGTGTGGTAATAAATTAGTGAAAAATGGGTAATAAAATATGCCACCGGCAAAAAGTTTTTTTTCTGAATTCTGCTAACTTGAACCTTAAGCCAGAAGAATCGCTTCCATTAAGGGTGGTTTGGTAATGAAAAATTATTGGGGTAGTAATACATTAGTGAAAACAGTGGTGGTAATACATTAATTAAATTGGATTCTGCTCATTTGTCCCCGCTAGCTTAAGGGTTCTTTTTTTATAATTGATGTCACAATTTTAGACGAAACGTCGGACTAACACCATGATTTATTAGCCCGAAAACCAATATCTAATTATATGTACCTAACAATAATACACTAAAAACTTTGTTTTCAAACTTCCACAAAATTTATTTTAACTCTTATGTCTACAGCTGTTTCGGCTGATTGCCTTTCTCAAGTCTTAAGATTGCCTTTCTCAAGTCTTGAGAAAGGCAATCATCCGAAACAACTGTAGTGATAAGAATTCAAATAAATTTTGTGGAAGTTTGAAAATAAAGTTTTCAGTGTTTTATTGTTACATAAAATGAATTTCTATCAAGTAACGGTCGAATCCATAAATTATCTAATTATATAATATAAATTGTTCTCACCAGAATAAAAACACCTAATACAAGTAATAAATAACCTAAAAATTTAGTTTTTTTTATTTTTTATTGCTAAAATATACAGTAAATTTATTTTTTGCCATAATTAGGTGGACCAAATATATTTCCAGCTGGAAAGTTATTTTCTCTACGATATGCGTATCCAAATAAAACCCCTCCACCTGAACCAGGAGGGAATGTACCTCCTGGTCGGTTTCCGTATCCAATACCTCTTCCAGAACCGTAGCCATATCCTGGTTGGTTCTGGCTCCCAAATGGATATCGAGGTGGTCCTCTATATTGATTGTAGCCCGTATTAGATCCGTATCCAACATTTCCAGGAAAGTTTGGCCTTCTTCCATAACGTAAATTTCCGATTCCAAGTTGTGGATCGGCTTCACACGTAGCTTCTTTGATATAAGCCAATGAACACAGTAAAAATATCTACAATAATACAGACAAAATAAAATATTTAATAAATATTGTTAAAATAAAAAAAATAAAATAGAATAAAATTTTTGAATAAAAAAGTTTTTTGTTTATTTAAAACAATATAGTAACAGCTTAGTTATGAACCAATTTTTTTTTATTAAAAAAATTAAAAACCGCCTAATAAAATTTCACTTTATACAATTTAATAGCTTTTCTGTTTATATTTGTTGCAATTTAAGTATTCTGAGTATCAAAATAATTTTATTAAGTTTATTAAGATCAAAAATATTCAAAAATAAACTTAAAGATAAGAGTAAAAATAGTAAAGGAAGAACAATGGCAAAAATAAAAAAAAAGCAATGATATGAGGATCAACAACATCTTCTTTCCACACAAAAACTAACATCTTTATAGTACAGTATGTCATCAAACTAATAACTGAAGAAGTTGTTTAAGTAATAAATAAAAAAAGTAAAGTTGTTAGAACAGAAAATGGACAGTTTAGAAAGTGTGAGCAGCTTTAGACAAGACAGAAAGTATATTTAATAAAATAATGGAAGTGGAATAAATGCCAGACCAATAGAGAAGCATATATTCATCTGTACCTGTACAAAAACCAAGAAGATGTTTTTGTATTGAAGAAGTAGTAAAAGACAAACATAATTTGTGCAAGATAGATCAGCAACACATGCAATTCTGATTAAAAGGTAGCTGATGCACCAATATGATATAGTAGAAAATAATACTGATAAACAAATAATAAAAAATGGAAACTTACAATGGAAACAAATTTTTGAAAGGAAGCTCTTAAAACTGGAATGCATATATTGTCTACATTGGATATATCTCGAAAGATTTGAATAACACACATATCCACATTAGCCCTTTCGCTCATTACGTACTATATATAGTACACCGACTAAAAGTGCACTTTTGTAATGCTAAATAAACGATTTATGCTGCGTGGTGCCATCTATAGCTTAATAGCAGATTTACCCATTTAGTAAAATGGTAGCCAATAATGATGTCTGTAGTTTTAAAAGTTTTAGTACCAGTTGACAACCACGTGTCCTGAGAAACGGTTGCTTTCTTTATTTCCTAATTTTCGGATGACATTTTTTGCCGTAAAAAACGATTGAAAGGTAAGTTTTAATGTTTTGTTACAAGTTTATAGTTTGTTGTATTGACATAAATAATAATTATTAACCAATACATCTTTTTTTATCGTAAACACAATGTAAACACAATGTACTACGGATAGTATATGGTGACATAAGAGATATTGAACTTGTACTACTACTAGTACAATTTGATTCAAAGAAAAACCTCAGCTACTTCCTTTTTTTAAATTTTTGTTGCAGATATATACTTTTAAAAATGAGTAAATATAACAAAAATAAGCCATTGAGTGAAAAAGAACTGTATGAGTTGATAGAGGCTGGACTTTCTGATGTGGAAGAGTTCTGTGATGAAGAAACTGATGAAATACTGACGTTCGAAGATCTCCAGAGAGACGACGATATTATCGGTAAGATCATCAACTAGTTACTTTTGCTTATCTGATAAGGTAATTTTAAATTAGTAATTTAGGTAAACAAGTAAATGATTTGGAGGCAGAATTTTCTGAAAATGTCACTTTGCAAAGCTCAGCATCCCATGTTGTTAACAACGATGATACTACTTCTCAAGATCTACTAAAAAGCAAAGTAGAGCGTAAACAGTTCATGAAGGAGTTTTTAAAGATACATGATTTAACGGAAAAAAAGTAAAATAACGTGGCGAGAAGATGTAAAATACATAACGCCCACTACTATACAATGGGCACAAAAAACAGAAGCAAATCTTACACACCTAAAATCACCAATAGATTATTTTTATAAATATTTTGATGACACTTTATTTGATACTATGGTTATATACACAAACCTTTATCACCAGCAAAATAATACATGCTTGAGAATACAAATATCAGCGAAATAAAAAGATTTGTGGACATTCATATTATTATGGGAAACCTAAGTTATCCCAATATAAGACTTTATTGGGACAGCAAACTTTGAGTAAATCATGTTAAAAATAATATAACGTACAACAGGTTTTTAAAATTGCCAACGAACCAAATGACACTGATAAATTTTGGAAAGTTAGAATTCTTTAGCACAAAATACGACAAAGGTGTATGTAATTATCACTTGAAACAAAATAATGTATTGACGAACAAATTATTCCGTTCAAGGGACAGTTAAGCCTTAAGCAATATATAAAAAGTAAGCCGTGTCCATGGGATATAAAACTGTATGCCCTGAGTGGAAATTCCGGTTTACTTTACGACTTCGTTTTATACTAAGGTCCTACTACAGAACTAAATTCCCTTCATCAACAAGTTTTTGGTCAAAGTGCAGCTGTCGTAATAAAACTTTCTGAAAGAATAACCAATCGAAACCATCAGCTTTATTTCGATAATTATTTTTCTAATTACCAACTATTGCAGTGGCTTCAAAATAGGCATATTTATGCCTCCTGTACTGCCAGAGCAGAACGTTTTGCAAAACCTCTACTTTTACTAGATAAGCTAATAGCTAAAAAAGAACAGGGATTTTCATAAGAAATCATTAGTAATGATGGACAAGTCATATTGACTAGATGGTTAGATAACAAATGTGTAACCATGACCTCACATATTTTCACTCAGAAGGGGAAGAAGATACTTGCAAGAGATGGAGCATAACAGAAAAACAGTATCTTATGGTGCCTCGACCAGAAGTTATAAAACATTACAATGCCAGTATGGGAGGCGTTGACAAATTAGATTTTTTGATTTCTATATATAGAACTTTCATAAGGTCTAAAAAGTGGGCCCTAAGAATGTTTACACACACTCTTGATTTGGCATGCTGTAACGCATGGCTGGAATATAGAAAGAAGCAAAGTTCCTCAATATAGCCCAAAAAGATATTATTGACCTATTTCATTTTCGTTTGTATATTCCAGAAGCGCTCATATATTGTGGACAATGAGTAAGAAGGTTGGAGGACCTTCTTTAACTGATAATTCACCCAGTTCATATCCTCCACCTAGCAAAAAATGGTGTCAAAAATATGGACCTATAACAGAAGGTCGAAAACTCAGATGGAAGGATGGTGTAGATGAGGATGGTAGAAAGACTGCCTGGCGTAATCGACTTGGGAAGGTCGAGGCTCTTTCATAGGGCTGTAGCACCATTGATGATGATGATCACAGAAGTTCGATTAGATGGTAAAGGACACTTTCCTGACTTTGACGATAAACCTACACATTCCCAAACCAGGTGTAAATTGCCAAAATGTGTTGGAAAAACACACATTTTTTTCATTAAATGTAAAGGACATCTATGTAACAAAAGAAAATCAAAATTGTTTTTTATTGTACCATTCAAAGTAATGTAAAAGAAATTTTAATACATTCGAATAAAACATGCTTAAATTATTTTTTTTTTACCTTTGGCTCAAACTGTACTACGGGTAGCACATTTTATATGTCAGCTGTCAACGATATTTTTTTTTTGCTACAAAAAATCTTTAAAAAATCAATTATTTCATAGTGCACATTAAGAAAATTTTATCTATAAAAACAAAAAGTCATGACTGTAAGGGTTAGTCTGATGAAAATGCTGAATAAAGCGAGTGAAATGAAGTGAGAAACAGTAGAAGCTACAAAAACCTATTTTAATATCACTAAACTAAACTTAATAGTACTTACGAAGTATATACATTTGCTCCCCATTTTTATTACAGATCACAACGTTACTAATGGAATTAAAAAATTTTTGTATTATTTTATACCAATTTTCGAACAAGGTAATCGTAAAAATTTTACAACTAGGTGTTAAGTGATTAAATTAATATTGGACATATCTTATGTATATGGTAACCAAATTGTGAACTTCAAATTTCCCAGGATATAAATGAAATCAAAATATTATGTCATACTTAAATTTAAAATCGAAGTGAATCCGAACATTTTTATATTTCTAATTTTAGTATTATAAATATTTAAAGCAAACTTTAAAATGTCAATATTGTAGAACTCAATTAAATATGGGAAACCTATTTTATAAAACAAATATATTTATTTCTAAACTAAGAAACAATTGTGCAGATCTGAATGAAACCAGACCTACAGTACTGTATGTGGAAGTAAAGGCGTTAATTGATCTATTATACCTAGCTGGGGTTGTCAAAGCAAGCCGCCAAAATTGCAAAGAACTTGCAAACAGGCTATTGCTGGAACAGGCGGAGAGGGGTTTCGAGATGCTATGGCTCATAGGCAATTTGTCATCTTGCTACGTTCTTTGCGTTTTGATGACGTAAACACTAGAGAAGAAGTAAGAACCATAGACAAACTTGCATCAAACAGAAACGTGTTTGACCCATTTAATCAGAAATGCTAACTTAATAATGTTCCTAAGATATTAAGATAATAAGATCTTACTTATATTAGACGAGATGCTTTTTGCATTTCGTGGACGTTGCGGATTCCGCATGTAGATCGTAAATAAGCCAGCCAGAAATATGGCATAAAAGTATTTTCCTAAATGGACGCCAAATATTTTTACACGGTAAATATAGCCTGGGAGCTAAGCTTCCAGGACCATATCGCGTTAGTACTAAAACCATCGATTTAGTGGAAATAATAATATATGAGCCTGTCTTTCGATTGACTAGAACTACAACCATGGATAATTGGTTTACAATTTACGAAATTGCAAAAAGCATGCTTGAGCAGCTCAAAATTACAATTGTTGGAACAATTCGAAAAAATAGAAGGGAGATTCCAAAGAAGACCACAGTACTAGTCTATGTTTGCATTTTCCAAATCCATTACTTTAGTATCGTATATCTCAAAGGAAAAAAGTCGTTACGCCGTTATTATCTTTTCACTATGATGACTCGATTGATGAAGATTCTGGAGATGCCTGTAAGCCAAATATTATTACTTTTTATAACATTACAAAATTGTGCGTTGACTCACTCGATCAGAAATGTGCAGAGACACGCGAAGATGTCCAATGGTCATTTTTTATAATTTACTCAAGATTGCAGGCATAAACTCTAATGTCATACATAAATGTAATACAAATGAAAACGACCTATTTTCGGAACCAAGATTGTTTCTGCAATCAATTGGCTTAGCCTTAACAAGAGAAAACATTCTAACCAGAGCAAGAGACTCTCATTCTCGATATTTTCACGATATTTTTGTGTCAAATACCAAAAAATGGCTATGCTTAGAGTGTGCTATGTTAAACCGGATTTGCAAAGACTGCAATGGAAATTAAGATTAGGATTAGAATAACTGTAAAACGCCATCTACACTCTCGACCGACGTTCTTCGGACGAAATGTCGAAGTGAAGTTAATCAAGGGGAGGTGATATGAGATAGGCTCTACATGTCTACATACTCATGAAGTCGAGTAATGTAGTGTGACACTTCGTATTCGAACTTCGTTCCCTTTGACTAAAGGTCGATTCAGACACATCAGTCACGTCTCGTCACAGTCCTGGCGCCGAACCGAACAATCCGTCATACAAAATATTCTTTAATAGAAATATGGCGCCATCATTCACATTCATCAGGCGAGGAACAGTTTCCCAGCTGTCATATAGTTGATAGTTCTGTGAACAAACAGGACCGGTTCGGTGCCGAGACTATGACGGGACTGAGGTGTCTGAATTGACCTTTAGACGCGAAAAACCGACACAGAACGGAAGTAGAACGAGGCGAAGCGAAGTCACTCTCGTACTCGCTGAACTTCGTTCAACTTCGCGAGTAGTATAGTGGCCGCATTATGAGATTTTTTTACGAAGTATACGGCCCTTTTATAAAACATCACCATCTACAAGGAAGTCTAAGGGATCTGTGAATTCGGATAACGGGCATTTAAATGTACTAAACTTCTGGAATGTGTGGAAAGAGGTTTAAATATAATTGAATGTAATTCCGATTACTGATTACGAAAATCGGTTGGAATGGTTTGCAAATTGTAATTTTTGTGTTTTAAATAAGTATTTGTGTCTTCTATAACTTCCTCTAAATGTAACAATGATCTCACCTATTGAGACACGTTAATCTTATTTAAAAAAAGTTATGAAATTATTTCTTAAAGTACCAGATAAATATAACATTTTGTTTTAATAATTTATTATGAAAATCGATAAAAACGAGTATTCTTGTAAATAAATAAACCTATTCTGTTGTCAGAGAAACTTTAACATTGTACAATAAAATGCGCACGGGCGCTACCCCAAATCCAACCAGTCCTTTTGCCATTTGTCCTTGCCGAGTCCCTGAAAGCGCTAGTGCTTGTGATATTGATCTCAATATAAAAGAATTCTACAACAGAAAGCAGTGAAATTGTTTTTCAAATATGACATCTGACGAATCTGATGTAAGTTTGATTTTTTTTAATTTTTATATATTAAATCATAGTTAAATTAAGTCACTTAATCGTTGGGAAATCATATGAAAATTTTGAGGTTGCGAATCTGTGTGACCTACATTGCAGTATAGGTTATTGCGCTAACATTGACCTATTTATATTCGATGTTTTATAAAGTATTTTATTAATTTTAATTTTAATTCCAAGTTCAGTATGTGAAATCATTGTTACTGAAATTATTTCTGGTTTTATATATGAAACTAGGATACATTAGGATATGTCCCTGTAAAATTCTATAATGAAAGTTATTATACGTTTGTATATATATTATACTTGTAATTCCTCTTAACAAACTCGTGTCAACATATCTTCTTAATAAGCTTTATCAAACTTTGAAAACTAAGTTTATTTGACGTTTCGATATCCACTCCGGCAATCGTTTCCGAAATACAAAACATAAATAAAACAAATTTTGTTCCAAAGTGTTCGTCCAAAATCAATTTTTTTATCGAAATGTCACGCTTTAACACGTTAGCTGCCGATCTATTCTGGGTAAGTTTTTTACAAGAGCCACCTACTCTTTTAGATACATACACGTTTATTTCTTAGTTTTTGGAAAAGTTAGAATTAAATAAGTATTTTGAAAGTAAATTCACATTATATAAAAAAGGGTTGGTGGTGAACGCGCCAGAGCGTCAGTGGCGCTCGGCTCTAGTATTTGTATTCATACGCCGTACTAGGCGCTGGTGCGTTTTGTAAATAATAATGATAAAAATCTAGGGGTATGAGGGGACAGGTTTGGCATTCATAAATTTTATCTTTACGGATATTTCATTCGCTGCAAATTTTACAGCGTTTTCTCATTACTTTGTTCTTTAGATATTTTACCTCTCGTTTTGTTACTAGATGATATTTTGTAACATGCTTGGCTTTAAAATTATTAATTTTAAAAGTGATCTAACGAATTCTAAATGAAATTCGCAGACTAGTCTCTTTTTCCAGCAAACTTGTTGTATAGTACTGTAGTACTATACAATAAACTGCTATTTATTATACTGAAAACTAAAGCTGTAGTTTAAGCCATGTAGCGACACGCCAACGTGTTGTTAGCAAGGCACGTAGTAAAGTTAAATTTTTTTTCTGATTAAAATATTACCAAAAAAGCAAAAAAAACAGGTACACATGCGGTTTTTCTTTTTGTCCTATAATTTTTTTTCCACAAAGGTATACGTACGTATTGCTTCATAGAAAAAAATCTTCTATTTTTTCTCTTCAAAATAATATTCAGTAGAAGTAATTAGGATTCACAGTAATCGGGATACAATTTTTCAAAGTTTGCGATTGACACCATTTTTCCTATTTTTTCGCAAAAATTGTTCTATAACTCTTTTCTACGCAGTTCTAGGTATATATAATGGTATTAAATAGAAATAAAAAGTAATTAAGTACCCTTAAAGTGGTAGGACTAATTTTAGGCAAGATACGTTGCTTCAAAGTTTTCTACTTTTAACGGTTTTTTCTATTTACAAATCTATATTAAAACCCATTTTAAGTCATAAGTTATAAAATACAATGTAAAGAAATTATTCAAGTACATAGCATACTATTTAATCAAGTTGTAACAGTAAATAAACAAAAAAAAAAGTTACAATACTGACCAAAAAATTACTAGCTGATTTGGTAGCGCTGGGTCTCCTGAACCCAACGTATCCACTTTACAAGAAACAAAATATCGTAGTACCCTGTTCGAATGCCTATGTTGTACTGCCGGGACCGGGTCGGAGAAGAAAGAAACATAGCTGGAGTTCTGTGCAGTAAAATGTAGGTTTGGGTTTCACAGACCTGGCGCTACCACCGCATGGTTAAATGGTAACACTTCACGGTTTTTTGGTCTATTGACTATATGAAATAATAAAACCCCTGTAACGTTGTAGTTCCTTTTAGCCCTATATATTTTTTAACATAACCAGTAGCTTATTAGTCCGTTATTGAATTCTACTCTTTAATTGTGGCTGATTATCAATATACAATAGTAATCATATACACAAACTAGATTCATGTCCGGTTATATTAAAATCTTTGGTTATATTGGCCCGAAAAACACTAGTTATATTTAAAAAAAAATAAATTTTGCTTTAAAACATTGCCTGTTTGGAAACTACTTAAGTACTTCAATAAACAGGTGGAAAATAAAAAAAAAAACACCTCGCACGATTTTGCGTCATCAGAACACAATCCAAATAAATAAGGGGTCCATTATAGTAATAATAAAACTTATTGATAGTGTTACTCCCACAAATTTGGCCCGTTGCTTCTAAATATTTTTAGATTCCATTCAAATCCGAGACTCGTGTTCGCGTTTTGATGATTTTCTTTAAATCTCACAGTGCCTATTTCAGTATTTTCTATTTTTTTATTTGTGGACTACAGCTTTTGTTTAAGGTGAGCCTTAAGTAGTTGATAATATTAGTCAGAAATATAAACAATAAACGTACTAATCTATAAATATATGTAACTAGCGTGGATTATATGTTTTTATGATAATAGTGAATTGTTTAAGAGTAAAAAGACATACCTACCTATACCTCAAGTGATTTTCTTGTTAAGGACCTCTTTTATATTTTTAGCTTGTTGTAGCAACTAATATGGCTTAGGCTTAATTTTGCAAAAACAAATAATATAATTTTAATCAAAGTTTGATCTCAGGGCTCCTTTTATCGTTAATTATAATAAGTGACTTCAGAATATTTTTAAGCAGTTGCCTTTGAGGAAAGGATATACAATAGGAAAATAAACTAAATCAAATAATTTTGTGATACTAAACTATTAAATAATTTATTAATAAAGAATAAAAAAAATAAAGTCAGACAATTTTACAATTAATCAACAGCATATATCATATTATGCGTTAATCCATATAATTAAAATTACAACTTCATTAAAATTTCTATACAAATTATCAATAATTGTTTGGACTTTTTTTTGACTAAAAGATGTCTTCTCTGTGTATTCGTTTTTTTAATTAAATAAAAACAAAAAATTTTCTTTTAATGTAAAGAAATATTACTTCTTTTAATTTGTTTATATCTTAATTAAAAGATTATATTTATTGTGAAATGAAATCACTGAATAAAATATAAAAAAAAACCAAATTAATTATGATCTAGTTATGATCGTGGTTGAAAGTCTATGTTGATTATATGGCAAACTAACCTTTTATTTCTAAGAATTCTCTACTGGCTTATTTTCTTCTTACGACTGTGATATGCCCACCTTTTGCTCGTACTCTCAGTTGCTCTCTCCACACGCCTGCTATCTTCCCTGATTGTCAACGTCTTACGCACACACTATCACTTCAACCGACTCTCCAAAAGCTCCTGGACCAAACTCCTATCTCATGGGACCCAATTTCTTTCTAGTCGAAAGGATTTTCGCTTAATCGACTAGTACCAAATATACTATACTCCTGTTTGTTTATTACAGGATGTATTTTCCTTGTCTACTGCTACCAATCCTTGGAGCTCCTTTCACAGACGCAAAACACCTTTCAGAATTATTATTTAACAAGAGCTCTGCTAATTTTCTTCTTCTTCTTTTGTTTTCACGCCATGGTGATACGTTAGCTCAATTTGGTGGTGACCCCAAAGAAGTCTGGCTTTAAACTAACTCGAGCCCATTTACTTGTACCAAATAATTTTGTAAAAAAAAAATCCAATAATAATAAAATTAATAGGAGGTTATGTTAGTAAACACTACAAAAAGTATTGAGCATTTAGCAAAAAATTTTATCAAAATGCTAACTGATTCTTCAGTAATTTTATTTAAAATGGAATATATAGTTTTTGGTGAATTATAATTCATATAAATGAATTTTGTGTATAGGTCAAAACCCGGAATGATCCTTATAGGGCATTCAAAAATTATATGATTTAGGTTCTCTATTAGGCCACATACACAGTACCTACCCAAGGGTTGTCCGCCAAATTCAGTTTGAAATTATGTTTTGTTAACGAATGACCGGTCCTCATTCTTATAATAGTTGTAATGTGTCTCCTATCTTTATATGAAAAGTTTTGAAACCATGTTTTATTTATACATTTCTATTCATTAGATAGCCTGGATGAAAATTTGTCATTGAATGCCAAAACCTAGTTTGTTACAATTTTTTGAGGCATCCGTATAAATGACAGAAATATCATTGATATATTTTTCAGTAAATAATGAAAATTTTTCTCTGAATGCTAAATTTCTCTGCAGGATATAAAAACTTGACAATACAATATAGGGTATTTAACGTTATGACCATTTTTGCTTAGAAATTACTGTGAAATATAGACACTGTATATACAGAAGAAAAAAATAAATAAGTGTAGGGGAAATGTGCCTATGATGGACCCCTTAAGGAAAAAGCTCCATAATAATTTTAATTATTTACTTAGCAGACTTTAAATAATATGACCACATAACGTCTTGTTATTTGTATAATATGCAAAGGTTTCAAATTTTGATAAAAACTAAGATGACAAAAGTTATTCATAGTTTACTAAAATCCTGTTCACGGTCCATCATGGGCGTATATGCGCTTATGATGGACCCTTTGATACGCAAATGATGGACCCGTTGCATTTTGTATAAAATAAGTAAATACCAAATTATTTTATTAAACCAAAAGATATTCTAAACCATAAATAATATTACAAATAAGTATTTTTAAGAAAAAAGTTATATGCACAATTCACACACAAGTGGCACCAGTTCTGACACATTTGACAACGAAATATTTTGCTTTGGATCGTGAATGCGAGAATACTTCGTTACAGTAAATACAAGCTGAGCTGCATCGTCCGAGTCGTCTTCTTTAAAAGAAGATTCACAATCGTCTTCAGAACTGTTTGTAGTTGAAACACGAACTTTTCTTACGTCTTGTTTTTTTTGCTTCTTTTTCTGCAATTTTTTGTTTTATATCATCAATTTCTGGCGTTGAATTTAAAAATCCTATTTTACCCCGTTTTTTACCCATTTTCTGAGTTACTTCAGATACTCCAGCTAAAGGAGGAGGGCAAATATCTTCGACCGAGATGTTTAGGACTGACGATGATGTTGATTTCTGATCAGTGCTTTTTGATAAACCTTCAATCGAAGAAACATTTTGGTTCCGATGTTCCGGTAGTAAGTTCTCGTCAGAACATACTGGTAGTAGGTTTTGTTCATAACTTTCTCTATCTGTTGGTCATATTCGCTCCGTGGGTCTCCCCTCCATTTACTGTCACGTGACACGCTGTCAGATTTGTGAGGACGTTTTAGTATTGAGTCTTATGGGATTATTTTGTTAAACTTAAATATTTTATTTTATACATTATTTGACATTTATAGTTCAATTAAATTATTTTTTGTCGTTAATAAAGATTTATTAACATAATCTACGAAAGTGAGGTTATATATACATGATCAACCAATGATCAACATCCATGGTACAATGAATATGTTCATTGTACTATGCACAAAAGCGTCCTGATAAAATTTCAAGCAATCGCCACCATGAGCAGGTCAGTCGATTTTGCTTTGACATTTTGTTAACCCTCGGAGCGAATACTCTCGTTATTCATGATTTTTCATTTTTTTGGACTATGTTTAACATTTTTACTTCACTAGTTAAAAAGTATACTAAATAAAAACAGGGAAATTATTTGCTGTTTACAAACTATTAGAAAATTTTTCATCAGATAAAAAATAAATAAATAAACTTATGAAAAACGCTGTGTTTTTATTAAATAATAAATATTTCTAAAAAAACTTTATAACAACCAGCCATCGAGCAATAAGACAAAAGAGGGAATCTAATCGTTATAAAAAGGAGACCAAAAAAGTGGCCTCTGATGGCGGACACATCCGGAAATGCAAAGGCGCTAAATTTAAATTTTCCAACATTTGTTAACAATAGCTATAAAATATTTTTCAGACTAGAAAGTTTTAATTAAATAATAACGATAATAGTCTAAAAAGTGACATAATTGGTAAAAAACTTCAATATAAATAAAATTTCATGTGACAGTTGGGACAAACAATAACATAACCAAACTAAATTTGACTTCTTAAACAAGGAAAGAGACTGTCTATCCTTGTCTAAAGTGGCCTCTCAAGATGGCACTTCCTGTCTATCAATATGTTTACCCCTTCTACCTTTACATTCCCTCTTTTGTCTTATTGCTCGATGCAACCAGCCAAACACTGACGACACCAATATGGAGGTTTTGACATATGTCCCTGACTATTTTTGTACACTGACATTCCCTCTATTTATTTTATTTTCGCCATGTTAAGAGTGGCGGTGCATAGTGAGTTGTCTACGAACTACATAAAAGCTAAAAGAACGCAACAACTGTGTTCAAAATTTCCAACATGCGTCTAATTCATTTGATAATGAGTATGAGATAAGTTGATTATAAAATAAAATATAATAAATATAAAAGTTGATTATAAAATTATAAAATATTGAAAAAACGATGAAATATTATGTTTTACCTTTTTTAGAGATTTTTAAATAATTTTTATTAAAAATCCTTTGTAAAAGGTATATATTAATATATACCTAACGGTATAACGGTATAAAGATATATAATAATATATTAATATATTCCTTTTACAAAGGATCTTTAACAATTTTTTTAATATATGGTATACAGCCAACTACAGGAACGTAGATTCGTAGTGGAGATTTTTAAATGTTCCGTTCGTTTAGTATTAATGTAGTTTGTAGACAACTCACCACGCACCGAACTCATCTTAGACAGCGCAAATTCTCGGTGAGTTTTTTTCGCTATTGTCAGACAATTGCGTCATATCTTATTCCTGTCAATGTCATTAATACCATTCAATCTTCATAACTGTGAAAGTTGATAAGATGCCGTGCCCAAAAACTTGTAAAAAATGTTATTGTCCAAAGGAAGTGAGTAAAAATATATTTTTATATATCTTCTTTAAGTTTTAACTGTATTTGTTACTTAAATACGGCTTTCTGTCTCTTTGCTTCTTACCTTCAATAGCCCTTATTTTTTAAATGTTTTTGAAATTTGTCTCCTAATATCGTTTATGGTTTCTTTTGATATGGATCTAATGTTAAGCCGCTTACTATATTGATGTCAGTTCTTCTTCTTAGAGTGCCGTCTCCCTACGGAGGTTGGCAATCATAATGGCTATTTTTATTTTAGAACTTGCTGCTCTAAACAAATCAATCGATCTGCATTGGTACGAATCACGTAGATTCTTTAACCATGAGTTCTGCCTTCGGCCAACAGATCTTCTTCCTTGAATCTTTCCCTGTATTATCAGTTTCAAAATTTCATATTTTGGTCCCCTCATCACGTGGCCTAGGTATTCCAGTTTTCTGATTTGTATAGTGGTGATTAGTTCTGTTTCTTTACCAACCCTCTCCAGTACTTCTTTATTTGTAATTCTATCAGTCCATGATATTTTCAATACTCTGCGGTATAACCAGAGTTCGAAGGCCTCGATTCTTTTTAAATTACATTTTTTTTAATGTCCAAGTCTCAGCTCCATATAATAATATTGAAAATATATAACAGCGAATGGTACGTAGTCTGATCTCCAAATTTAGATTTTTGCACGTTAGGAGTGGCTTCATTATCAGGAATGGCAATCTCTATTCGTCTGTTTATTTCTACAGTATGATCATTGGTTTCACTGATCAAAGTTCCCAAATACTGATATTTTTCTACTTGTTCTATCACGTTACCATTTATTGTCAGTAGGTGATCTATATTTTGTGGCCTTTTTGTAATCAGCATGTACTTCGTTTTTTTTTTAGCGTTTATAGTAATTCCCATCTCAGCACTATTTATACTCAAGCTTTCGATAAGATGTTGTAGATCCTCTATACTCGTTGCTATGATCACAGTGTCGTCTGCATATCTTCAATCAATTATTAATTAATTTTCCGTTAACGGTGACTCCTGCTTCGACATTATTGAGCGTGTTTTGGAAAATTTCTTCAGAATATAAGTTAAACAAAAGTGGTGATAACACACATCCCTGTCTAACTCCTCTACTCCTCCTGTCAGTAATACATTTTAATAGTCTGTATTTATATCATCTTGACAATTTTTCTTTAGAATATCGAACTGTATTTGCCAAAATCTAAAAGTTCGATTTTTAAAAGTTCTTGATTGACAGGGTGCAAGTAGCTTTTGTTCACACAATATTAAATAATATTAATATTATTATTTACTAAAGTGATCCAAAGTAGACCAAAAACTATCCTAAATAATATACAACCTGAGTATGTCTATACGTCTGAAACTGTAGATCATAACTCAGAAGCCACATATCCGATTTAAACCAAACTTAGGGAACAGGTTATTATGCCGCAAAAATTAAATTTAAATGCTTTAGTATTCCAAGGGAAATACCTCAGAGAAAATTACCGCTGGACCAGAGGGTCAACTAAGTTAGAAATATTAACCTAAGAAATTTAACCATAGACATATAATACAAGATATACTGTTCGTTGGAATACCAGCCCGTATACCCAGAAATAACTGGTGCAAAGCAGTCCCTGCATCTCTATCAAATTTGCTAGGTTTATCGACCACATAGCCTAAGGTCAAGTTCATAACGGAGACCATCACATTGTATCCTAGCCTAGAACGTAGCCCTGACGGTGAACGCTCGCATTTAAGTTAATGAATTTATTTAACCTGGCGATCGACAATATGGTACGATCCCATGATACCATGAACTTCTAAAGATAAACCCACGCGCACGCAATGAGTCTATCTCTTTTGCACGTGTGACGTCACTTGGCGACAAATTTCATCAGAAATGTGCTGTTTTGGATGGAGTTTTGTCAGATTTAGTAGGTATTGTTTTATTGTTTATCTAGTACATCGACAAATAAATCTGTGTACTTTTAGATAAAATATATTTCAGAATTAAAAATCCACTAGGAAACTAAGTTCCTGTAGCTGGCTGTATACCATATATCACAAAAAATTTATTTAAAATCATTTATAAAAGGTATATAATAAAATGCCCAAGCGGGCGATCACAAAAATATTGCAAAACGTTTTCGGATTGTTAAATCTATCATCAGTGCAAACGAGGTATACATGCTATGAGCCACCAAAATATATGGGTCAAAACCCTTTAAATGATATAAATTTACATTTTCTTTACATTACATGTGGTTACAAATTATGATGTTTAAGTTACCGTTGGAATTGGTAACATGGCGACGTATGACCCTACATAGGTAAAATGGTCCTGAGACGAAGTTCTTCGAGAACCTGTTGATAACAACTCTTGACAACTCTCAAGACGGAATATAAAGGTACTGGGGGCAAAAATATTGTTAGACAGGAAGTGCGATCTTTAGAGGCCACATTAAACAAGGAAAGAGAGTTTCTCTCCTTGTGTGACATCAAATTTAGTTGGGTTGTGTTATTGTTTGTTCCAAATGTCACGTGAAATCTTATTTATATTGAAGTTTTTTAATAATTGTGTCGCATTTTAGACTATTACCGTTAATAATTAATTAAAACTTTCTCGTCTAAGACACATTCTGAAAAATATTATATAGTTACTGTTAATAAGTGTCGGAAAATTTCAATTTGGCGCATTCGCATTTCCGGATATGTCCGCCATCAGAGACCACTTTTTTGGTCTCCTTTTCATAAGGATTAGATTCCCTCTTTTGTCTTTTTGATCGATGGGTCGGCGCCTCGTTATGAGCGCCCACCTAATGAGCAATCAGAAGGTCACGTGGTCAATAAACCCAGCTTATTAGACAGAGATGCAGCTACTGCTTTGCGTCAATTTTTGAAACAAAAACTCCAAATAAAAGCTATTAGAAGTTGAGGTTAGATTAATCACATAAGCGCTGTTGGCATTACTAAGTTTTTACATATTTTTAGAACCCTACGCTTACCCTACCAGGTTTAAGTTAAATCAGTCGCTTTTATAGATAGACTTAACTTAATAATTTCTACAAACTTAATAGTTATCAACAAAATTATTTAGATAGATAATATTTTCACGCAGCCTTTCCATGAAGCTCACAAACTATGTACTCAGCAAAATTCTGAGAGAAATGGAGAGCAGTTGAGAAAAGAGGGGAAATTCGAATATGTAAAATGTTCCATGAATACCCATCTTAAAATTTGTTTATATGGGGTGTTTACATTTTTTCTTAAAATTTATTAAATTAAACTGCTACAATTTACGAAATAAAGTTATTGAAACGTAGGTAAGGAAAATATATCAAAATAAGAACTTGCTGAATTTAATATCTTCTATTAAAATTCTATGTTAACATTTAGCTACCTTGTTATATAATGGAAATTTGAATTAAAAATATCTGCGGTCAACTAGCGGAGAATAGTTGAACTATGAAGTCAGTAATGTAGATTCCTGGCGGTGACTGGTGAATAATAGCAGAACTACAAAAATAAAATTTGTAAATAGACCACCTAAGCGCTGACGTCACAATGGGCGGAGATTTTAAAAACCTTTGCAAACGTTACAAAGATATTAATCTGTGTGTATTCGTCCCTATTGGTTTTTTAATTGTTTGAAGGATAAATAAGGACTTTTGGTTATGAATATTCATTCTGTGCGATTGGTATTATTTGTTGTTTGTAAATTTGTGAGGTGGAAATATCAAAGTATTAAGATGTTTACTGTGAATGTATTATACATATTTTAAAATTATGTTATTGCTTGATTAAAACTTTAAATATATTTTACTGCATTTTAAGGTATTTTGTTTTTGTTGTTATCGTGGTAGTTTTAAAATTAATCAATAAGTTATTAAATTACGAACCTAAAAAAATATTTAAATCAATTTTTTTAAGTGCTAGTGATTTTATCGTCTAATGGAATAAATATATTCGTTTTCTTGTAGTTTAACCTGGCAGTAGGCGGGTCGTCTTTGTAAATTTGTGTCGTCTACCACGCGTAGGCGTGGTAAATTTTACCAGTGGACCGGTGGGGTCTATTAGGACCAAAATTTAAAATCCCCACAAGTTTCAGATAACATTCACATAATGTTTTTCAGTATTTTGTCGATTTACCTGTCTCTTAGTTAATAACCTTGTGGTATTGTGTTTTCGTTTTATTCTTTTTTTTTTAAATATACCAATTAATCTAAAACCTTTCATTTTTACAACTTTTATTAGCCCAGAATAGTAAATAATGTTTTGCAGAGTTCCTCCATACGTTTTATTAAAATAAAAATTTTAAGCTACATAAATTAGGTTATAACAAAAAATAGAAAAGGTTTCAATTTTATCCTAAATTGTTCTCTCTGCACTCATGCTACAATGTGATCCATGCACATCCAGGACAAACAAAATGTTCAAAAATATCGCATTTTTCGTCTTTTACAGTATTTAAAATTGCCTGTTTTATTGGGGGGTCACTTCTAGTAGGACTGGCGTAGGAGTATTTGATAGGCGAGACGCTGATTGAAGTACAACTAAAGCTAAATGAGGGTTCAAAGCTTTCCTTCCCATATTTTCTTTGTCATATTTATTCCTAAATCTGTAATAAATAATTTTCTTCAATTGTTAAATTTTCTTTCGAAAGCATTGACGGCAGCAACATTCATGAGACCATAGAATACTACCATAGGCCAATGTCTAGTGTTTCTAATAACATTATAGGAAGATATTTTTCGGTCATCAACGTCTCCCCGTCCCTTTGTCAGATTGTGAAAAGTAATAATTTCTGGCTTTACTTCTTCTCCAGTTACTTCATCAGTTTTATTGTCTATAATAATAAAGGACAAAAGCAATACATTTTATTGATTTTTTTTATACATACAATACTGCAGTAATATTGGTACCAAATACAAAAACAGATGATCATCGAGATCGGTTTTTGATGTTTTTGTCGGGTTTGTTAGGAATATATATTTTAAAACTGCACCTT